GATGTAGCTCTGTTTCTCTAAGGCTGTTAAAAAAATGGCATACTCCAGCTCTTGTCCTTTGTTCTCACAGCTACCTCTGCCTAGACCATCTCCCGTTTCCATCAACCAGTATCCGGTCTGTGCTTCCAGACTCAGTTTGTGAGCTGTCTTCTTTGTCAAGTCTTTGTCAGCTTTCTGCATAAAACATTTTTATTGATAGAAATAACCATTCACAGAATTCATAAACACATTTTATTCCAGTTTATCATGCACTTTGACCATATGTTTTTTTTTTCACTGTCCCCCACTAGTCACATTCTTTGTCCTGCATAGTCTCACTTTTACTTTCTTGTCATGTATATAAATGTGGGAGGCCACAGTGACTGATCTTTATTTTTGTTTCTTTGTCTTCTGTGCTTCCTCTTGCTCTTTCTGCCTCCATAGCAGTGCTAACAACAGCTTGCATTGTATTCTAATTATTTGTGTAGTTCACACGTGCTTATTATGTCGTCAACTGTGAAGGCAGGAGCTCTTTATTGTTTATCTCTGTAGTTCTCACACAGTTCTTTTTCTTTAGAAAGTGTTTAATGATCAATATGGGGGTGTTGAGCTTTCACTAAAACTTTTACACATGCCAAAAGTGAGTGTCACAGATTTACAAATATTCCTGAAGAACATTTCTTTCTGAAGAACTAGGTAAATGAATTATAGAATATGGTAGCAGCAGGCACATGCAAGAATAGCCATTGTCTGTAATATGTGGATAGAGAATCTAATCAACCCTAAATCAAGTCACAGAGGAATTTTCCATTTACAGCTAATAAACTCAGATTGCTTCCACACAATGATTTGTTGTCTCAATTTATCCACATTTCCTTAAATATTTAAGACACTGGACAATCCAAATAATTTATTATTTATGCTAATGTACAACCATGCTGGGGCATCCTTCTCCCTACACATTTTTTTTTTGTAAAGCAAGAGCTTTGAGGTAATAGTTCAATGTTAAAGTGAGTTAATTTTATTGATTTTTGTGATAATAGCTGATTATAAAAATAGATGTCATGCTTATGTGTTCTCTCCTCTGCCTTAAATACTCAAGTATGACTCATACTTGAGCTGATGTCAGCAAGACCTTTATGCTTTGAGGATGGAGTGATATCACAATGAGTGTTCTGTTACTAAATTTGTTGACACTTTATTCTTAAAAAGATTGCCTCAGAAAGCTAATTAGAAAATTATGCATTTGAAGTGTGAGCCAAGGTGGACTTTGTGTCACCATAAAAATTTAAAAATCCAGGATCAATTATTTTATTTAAGATTTGTTTCTTTTTTTTAATGCAAGTCATCTTTTATTTTTAAATAATGGTAAATTAATATATGTACACAAGTGGTTCTGTTTAAACAAATATATAATTTTAACATATAATTTTCTTATTTCTATAATTATTTTGTATACCTATGACCTTGGGATCTCCAAAAGATTCTTTTTTTAAATTAAATTTTTATTTTTTATATTAGTTACAGTTTATTTACTTTGTATCCCAGCTGTAGCCCCCTCCCTCACAGGAGCTCCACAAGGACCAAATATATTGGGGTACAAGGTTTTTTTTCTCCAACCAAGGACCATGCATGGATATAACCTGGAACCCCTGCCCAGATGTACCTCATGGCAGCTCAGTATCCAAGTGGGTTTTATAGTAAGAGGAAGAGGGACTGTTTCTTACATGAACTCGATGGCTGGCTCTTTGACACCCCCCCTCCCCGAGGGAGGAGCAGCCTTGCTAAGCCACAGAGGAGGACACTGCAGCCAGTCCTGATGAGACCTGATGAGCTAGGGTCAGATGGAAGGGGAAGAGGACCTCCCTTATCAGTGGACTTAGAAGAGGGCAGGAGGAGATGACAGAGGGAGGGTGGGATTGAGATTTGTTTCTTATACACCATTATTATTGTCATTTTCTTTTATTTTATTCTTTCCTCCTTTCTCTTCTTCTTAAAATTCTTCCTTATCCTTGTCTTTCCTTCCCACCACACTTTGCGTTTTTCTAATGGATAAGGTTTTTCTTGCCCATGGCTTAAAAATATGGTCAACAAAAAAACTTCATTTTTTCAGCATGACAGTTTAATGTGTATTGGACATTGAATGAGACTAGAGTCCCCTGTCTGCAGTTTTATGGAGTTGTGCTCTCTCAAGCAATTGAATTATTTTGTTCTGAAATGAAGCAGGGATGGTGAGTGCTATTCCCAACTCTTTCATGAGCCAACTGTGTACCCTCGGGAAGCTTTGAATCCTTATGTATTGAGATCCTTAATTTTTAAGATAGAAAATGTTTTTTTCTCATCATATAACAAATATGGGGGCTGCTATGCCTCAACACTGAAAGTATTTAGAAAAGCTGGGAATCCACATACACAAGATATGTTTGTCTATATTTCAAACTAGGGAGCGGGATCACACCAGAAACCTGATGCTGAACAGCTGGATTGCAACATGAATATGTTTGAAGCCAAAACACCATTGTGAGTTTGTCAAAAGCATAGGGAACACTGCATTTCTTATAAGCTCCCCAAAGGGAAGGATAGCCAAAAGCTTTTTGCTAAGCCTGAGAGGAGGGGGAGAGATGGGCTTGGCAGAGAATGGATAAGAGCAAGTACCCTAGAAATCTGTACTGCTTTGTTATCCTAGAATAAGATTGCATGGCATGTGACTGGGAGGAAAAAAAATCATCCATTAAATATTACATTTTTCAACAACTAAGATAGCTCTGTGAAAAACAATGTCTTGATCTGTAGACATTTTTCCCTTTCTTTTTCTGAAGTTTGTGCTTTAGTAACTTTTCAAAGTCTTTGAATGTTAAAGTCTGTTCTCATCTACAACTGATGTTTTCTTTCTATTTTTCTTTTATATTCATTAAAATTCTTTGAATGTTTCTCTTTTCTCTCTTTGGATGCAGTCTAAACAGAAACGACCTAGGCTAAATTTTTATTAGGCCATAAACTCTTAATTAGGATCCACAAGCAAATACAGAGGGAGGGATGAGCTGGGTGTGCAGTCCAGTGGGATGGGCTGGGTAAGTGTCCATGAAAGAACAATCAGGTCTTAAAAGGAAATGCTAATTCCTAAAAGATAAATAAGGACGTTCAAGAATCAGGTATTCTTCCCTCATGGACCAAATTGAAGGCAGCATTAATCAAGAAAACAATGCAGACCCATTTGGTGTATAAAAGTTCAAAGCTTTGGATTGTATTGATTCCAAGACATTCTCAGGGTATCTAGCGTAGGTCTCCAAGCATCTAACTGAACTCTTTTATTGGAACTGATTCCAAGACTACATGAAAAATGCTCTTTGAATTAACTTTGTCAGCTGGAGACTGGGTCGCTTGGATATCATTGTTAATCAATAGTTTCCCCGACTCCTATAGGTTCTCTTGTATTTGAAACTAAGATGAAAGGTGTTCTGTTTCAATGTCTGCCTTACTATCAGACTGTGAGCTCTGGGATGTCATATTCTGTGAGTCATATTCTTCCATCTCTCAATTTTTACCATCTATGTAAGTGTCCATATTACTAGATGGTAAAAGGCACAGTGGATAGTTCTGTTCACTGAGATTTATCACGTTTTACCTGGGTAATTTACTTCTTACTTCTGAGTCTCAGGTTTCTCATCTCTAAAATAGTGAGTACAACACTGTTTTCTGAGTCTCAAATGAGATGACGTATTTGGAGGTACTACATCCCGTCTCAGAGTAAGCATTCAATCAATAGTAGCTCTGGTTGTCATTACATAATTCCGTAATAAATCAATGAAGGTAGACAAACCAGCTGCTAAAGGACATGGGTATATTTGATGAGGATGAGGTTCAGAACTAGGAAGAAGCTTAATAGGAATGACCTTGGCTGTCTTTCAACTCTCCTATACTTCCTGTAGCATGTTGGAGATGATTGGGGGGGCTTAGACAGTAAGAGGTAATCTTTAAATATCTGTCTTTTTGTGTAAGGCTTGCAATCATCTTGGCTGGGGAAAAAGAGGTTGAATAGATCTTGGGTGGAGAATGATGTTATTTATATAAACTTTTTTTTTCTATACGTAACATAGTAACATACTGCTTTCTGCATATAGCAAGCTGTTGTTAGTTTGTGAAGCCTGTGCCTTTGGAAAACCATTGCTAGCAGCTTGAATGAGATTCTTAAAACAATTAGAGGCTTTGAACACTTGCAAGCCAAGGATGGTTTTGACTCCCTGGTTTCTCCTGGGGTTTGCCTGGTGTGCTGGATTGATTATCAGATATAATTAGGGAAGTTGAGAAATGAAGAGCCACAGGGATCAAGATACTTGCCCAGGAACCTTCATTTCTTTGTTCAGAAGGGAACTGGGAGACTGCTTCCACTGTAAAAAAGAAAAAAATTAAAAGTAGCTATGAGTATCACATTCAAAAGCAAGAAGGGTCCTGGAAACACGGTTTTATGGTACCCATTGCTGTTGATGAGGTTTAAAGTGGTCAACATAGATTTTCTTTGTTAGGTTTTCAGTGTGGAATGAAACTCTGGCACATTACACTAAGTATTTTGTTTTAACTAAGAGAACAGTCTTTGTACATCCAAAGAAATATAAAAATAGTCTACCTTTAGAACACATGAATATGAAGAGAGGAGGTTTCAAGTTTGGGTCGGCTACAAGGTTCATTCATCAGAAGCTGAAGACAATCATTCTCACCTCCTTGTCCTAGACCTAAAATTTGCCTAGACTACAACCATTCTGTTTGAGCATCATCTCACTCTTAGTCTTGATTATGTGGAAACAATTTGACTATACATAAAACATGGAAAGGCAATGAGACTTTCATGTTCACTCACTAGGGATCATAGTGCAGACTATGAATGTGGTTGATATTTTGAGAAAAGGAGTTGCCCGAGAGTTAGTGATGGTTTAGATGTAAAGTTATGTCCCTTGTCAGCTTGACATGGAGTTATCATTATGAGGACATCAAGTACTAATCCAGTATTTCTGCTTTCTCCATAGGTCACCTGTCTACATGATTTCTTTGGTGATGATGATGTATTCATTGCTTGTGGTCCTGAAAAGTTCCGCTATGCTCAAGATGATTTTTCTTTGGATGAGAATGGTAAGCATGATCACCGGGCTTTGTTTTGCTTCTGTTCTTCTCATTTCCATCCCTTAGCATTTTCATGAGCTTATGTGATCTTCAAAATATTAAAAAATAGTACCTGATAGGCTGATATTATTAGCATTTTTCCTTTGTATCTGTCTACATGACACACTAAGTGAAAGGTCAATTGGATCTCCCAAAAGTAAAGCCTTCATACTACATTAGACTTTCCATTTACCTCAATAATGACCGTATTTATGGAAACATACTGTATCATATGAGCTAACCTGCACCATCAAGAAAGAGCTTTCATAGTATGAACTACACATATATTGTACATACAGATTTTTTCTAGTCATTCTCTTTTTATGTTTCTTTTTGGAAAGTTTTTTTTTTCAATTCTATTCTTAGTGACAACCCCATTTCTACATTCTTGCATGCTACCCCATTCTCTATGCACTGTGATTCAGGATTCCAGAAGATTGCTTGCCTCAAGAAAGACCTGAACATCTATTAGTTTAAGCTGCAGGTGTATAAAGTTATAAGTGAGCTAGGCCATACAGCAGAATTAGAATGGAATACAGATGGAAAGACATATTAAAAACACATTTCCTTCTCAGGAGGAAAATGTAAGAATACCAGAGTCTCACTAACAGACAACCTACAAACAATTAAGGCATAGTTCTTTGAAAAAGTGGCCATTTCTACAGCTTTTCTTTTAGAAAAGACAAATGATCATGAAATAGCTAACCAAACTCAAGCCCCATCCAATTTCCCATTCCCTCTGCATCTGCAGATCTTGATGGTGATCAATAAAGTTCATCAACCAAAATAAAAAGTGAAACAAATAAAAATGACCTGTCCACTCAATTCAGTTTCCTAAAAAGTTCAGTTGACCAAATTACCGGCCATCTGTCTTTTTAGTGTATGTTTAAGTAGGAGTCAACCAAGCGGTCTCTAAACAGAAATTTGTCTTCCACCCTGTTTATTGATTCTACTTTTCTTTTTTTGATATAATTTTTAAATTTTTTATATTAATTACAGTTTATTTACTTTATGTCCCAGCTGTAGCCCCCTCCCTCATTCCCTCCCAACCCCACCCTCCCTCCCTCATCTCCTCCTTGCCCTCTTTAAGTCCACTGATAGGGGAGGTCCTCCTCCCCTTCCATCTGACCCTAGCTTATCTGGTCTCACCAGGACTGGTTGCAATATCCTCCTCTGTGACCTAGCTAGGCTGCTCCTTCCACGGGGGGTGGGGAGGTCAAAGAGTTAGCCACAGGGTTCATGCCAGAGACAGTCCCTATTCCCTTATTAGGATATCCACTTGGATACTGAGCTGCCATGGGCTATGTTTGAGCAGGAGTTCTAGGTTATATCCATGCATGGTCCCTGGTTGGAGAATCAGTCTCAGACAAGCCTCTGCCCAGATATATTTGGTCCTTGTGGAGCTCCTGTTCTCTCCAGGTCTTACTCTCTCTTCTTTCATGATTCCGTGCACTCTGCCCAAAGTTTGGATATGAGTCTCAGCATCTGCTGTGATAAATATGATTCTACTTTTCATCTCACAAAACAAAATTAAGAAACTGTAGCCACAAGGAGAGCAACAGAACCAGAAAATTTGAACACAGGAGTCTTCCCAGAGACTCATACTCCAACCAAGTACCAGGCATGGAGATAACCTAGAACCCCTGCATAGATGTAGCCCATGGAAGTTCAGTGTCCAAGTGGGTTACATAGTAAAGGGAAGAGGGACTGCCTCTGACATAATCTGATTGGCCTGCTCTTTGATCACCTCCCCCTGAGGGGGGAGCAGCTTTGCCAGGCCACAGAAGATGACAATGCAGCCACTCCTGATGTGATCTAATAGACTAAGATCAGAAGGAAGGAGAGAGGGACCTCCCCTATCAGTGGACTTGGGGAGGGGCATGCGTGAAGAAGGCGGAGGGAGGGTGGGACGAGGAAGGGAGGAAGGAGGGGCTTATGGGGGGGATACAAAATGAATAAAGTGTAAAAAAATAAAGAAAGAAAGAAAAAAAGATCAAAAAAAAAAAAGAAAAAGAAACTGCAGCCAATGAGATGGAGAAATGGATCACCAGTTAAAAGCATTTGTTGCTCTTGCTGAAGACTTAGGTCTGGTTTCCAGTACCCACAAAGTGATTCCATAAATCCAGTTCCAGCGGGTCCAGTACCACCTTCTGACCTCTACTGGCACCAGGAACACATATAGTTCACATACATACATACATACATACGTACATACATACATACGTACGTACATACATACAAAAAATGAAAAACATATTGTAATCATAAGCCACTTAGGTGCATTGGCCTGGGGGATATTCCTTTTTTGAGATGCTGAGAATCTCACTTCTTCCTTCTCCTAAGCTGCTCGTGTCCTTTCATCCCCAGAATGCAGGGTTATGAAAGGTAATCCATCTGCCACAGCTGGCCCAAAAGCTTCCCCAACACCTCAAAAGGCATCTGCTAAGAGCCCAGGCCCAATGCGTCGCAGCAAGTCTCCTGCTGATTCAGGTAACGACCAAGACGGTGAGTGTTCTCCTATTGCTCATGTTGATTTCATTTATGGAGGCTGCATGAGACAAATGATTTATTTCATGGTTACCAGCGTCCCCATGAGCACCAATTCTATTGTTTTAGAGGAATAGAAAATCTTGTTTGGAGACAAATTTATTTGTTCCTCAGGAGCTTTCCACCTTGCTTTTTGACACAGGTTGCTCACTGGGATTTTGGCTTGCTGATTTGGCTAGAAAGTACAGCATGTGCCAGGAATCATCCTATATATGCATCTCCTGTGCTAATAGTATAGGCACATGTACCACCACAGTGTCTTTTTAATATATAACTCTCTCTTTAGCTCTTTTGTCAAAGGACACAAAACAGCAAGATTCTATGAAAGAATTATAATCAGTGGGCTGTCCTTTGTCAAACTTAAACAGCCTTCCTAGGGCGTTTTGATCTTCCTGACAGACTAACTGTTTAGTAGAACTAATATGAACCATACTGCAGGTTTTGTATATATATTATATGCATTTTGAAAGTTGTATTATTAATTGCACAAAATAAAATAATTGGTTTCTTATGACATCATCACATACATATTCTTTAATTTAATTATTTAGAGGTCACATTTAAAAATTAAAAACATAAACTTAATATAGATAGATTTTATTTTCTAATCCATTCAAAGGTAATAATTTCAACACATGATCAATATAAGAAATTGTTGTCATGCTTATCTTTGAAATTGCTCTGTATTTTAGACTTAAACCTGATTAGCCACATTTCAATGTGACTAGTGACTCCTTACTGTACTAAGCACCATAAAATACCTTTCTTTAGCTGAGAGAGATTAGATTCAAGGTAACAATTCTTCACATGAATTAAAAGCTGAGGATGTTGCAAAAACGTGTTCATCATTTCTGTTGTTCATCATAATAGCACTATGAATTAAATTACAAAAGGATAATTATCTAGGATGGTATTTTTAATGTTGAGAGCCTGAGGTACAGTTCAGATTCTGAAGGTCTTCCCAATGTCACACAACTATTTAGTATCCAAGGACCAGAACCAGAACTCCTTACCTCTTAGCAGGCATTCTTTGTATTGTTTTATTTATATGAGACAGGGTATGGGATTCCTAGTGCATTGAATGCAAGAAGTTCTTGTGGATGGTCCTTGCTTCTCAGTGTCCTTTTCCCTGGCCTCATCTCCAAGCCAGGGGTACAGGAATGCCAAGAGATGTTGGGATGTTTTTTGGGTCATTACTTTGTGCTGAATTGAATGCAATGCCACAGGTAAGTCTGTGTTGAGGTTCATAGCTAGTGGTCTGCTGTGAACAGATTCTATTAAGTCCCCTAATGTCACTCCAAGGTGAAATGAATTACTTGGTAGAGCAACAGAAAGATGAGAACGCCCTTCCCCCCACCATTTCTCCATCTTGAGGAAAATTCATTTGTATTAAAATATTGCAAGATTAACTATGGATATACTAAAGTTGTAGACACTTTCCTGGCATAAGTGAAGCTCTAGGTTCCACCCATAAATATTGCAAGGTTGGGTAAATAAATGTGTTTTCCAACAAGGAAGACGCTTCTCCGTTTTTTTTAAAAGAATCCACAACTGTACAAATTCCAAGGTATAGAAAATAGACTTAAAATTCACATTTCAGCTTATAATCTACAATACCTCACAATCTATGTTCGAATTTGGCTTGAGAAACAGATCAATGAGCAAATCCCTGAAGAACTGTTGTTGGGCTCTCAGTTCTTGCTTTCTTGATGGATGAGTCTGGGAAGAGGAACAAAAGCATTTCTGTTTAGCAGAAAAAAAGTTAACCAAAGCCATCCAGGCACAACACCCAAGGGCACTTTGAAATGGAAATGTGACAGCCATAGGTCTGTGTTTTGGCTTTGTTCTGAAGTAAGTCTTGGCCACCTTGGCTACTCTTGGATAGCCTTCCAGAAAAAAAAAAAATTATGCAAGTACAGAGGAATCGGTATATTTAGCCCAAAACAAAAGAAAGGCTAGATCATCTCACCATGTACAAATATGGAACTAACCGAGTTATGGGTTGAGATCTCCCTCTGTAAGGTGATAACAAATGCAAGAAGATAGTAAATCATACAAGAACCACACAGTTGCAGATAAGAGGAAATTGTGGAAAACAATCTGTGATCAAATTCTGAAGCTATGATTCATAAAGGAAGGGGAAGAGTCACATACTTTAGTTTAGGCAAATCTTTTCAAATCTATGTATCATTGTTGATTAAAGAGATATTAGTAACCATTAGGATCATGTGAAATCACATATGATAAAATGTCTCAAAAATAACTACACAACAACTAATAGTGGGTTAGCTGGAATTACTGGATTTGGGAGCAGGGCATAGGTAGGCTGAGATTACTTTTGGTGAGTGTTTCAGTATAAACATATGAAAACCAACAGGCTAGTTTTGAGTGTGTATTGGTATTACAATGGGTGAGCAGGCCAGGAGGAAGTGAATGAGCATTAACGTCAGTTTAATATCCAGTCATCATTGGTTAGAAGCAAGGCACATGCCAAGAAAGCCTTCCTGTTCTGTGCCATTCTGTTCAAATAAACTTCAATTAAGAATATATCATAAAACTTGTATTACTCACTACTTAGACAACTCTTTAATCATACCCAGAGAATGTAGAGAAGTGCATATATGGAGGGTATATTTTTGTGCTACTTCTGAAGTTGGTTGAAAAGAGTTTCTGAGGATAAGGAGAAAATGATCTGGAAGTTAAAGCATAGCTCCGATGTTCAGATCTGTAGCTGGTCTATGAAAACTGACACACGCACATACTTGTGTCTAACAACATACTATCTTTTGGCACAGCTGCTGTGTTTACTCTCAGATAAGCATGCAAATAAATAAGGACAATTTTCATCGTGGAGTAAAGGAGCTACCTTTTGTAGTTGGAGAAAGTAGAATGTACGGAATAGATAGCAACAACATGGGACAAAATACCCAAAATTAATCCAGGAATGTCTCATATCTCAAGTTAGACCATTTTCAGGGAGACTTTGCTGTGTCAGCTTACATAGGTCTCTATGATTCCTTCTCATTCTGGAAGCTTTTGCCAGGTTCTGCTGGGAAAGCCCTTGGGCAATGTAGACAGTCCCTTAACTCTTTCAACTATTAACTCCTTTATTTCCTTCCAACAGAGAATAAATTATTGTTCTGCCTTGTTGTGGAACCTCAGACCCTTGTCTTGCTTAGAGTGTGTCATTTAATTATCAGAAAACAAAGTCTAGTGCTTAAACACTGTGTATCAAAATGTATATCAGACACTGGTAGCATTCTTTATTTGGGGGGATGGCTTACAGAATAAATTAACACAATACTTACATACCCTAGGGTCCTTTCTTTCCTTCCGCATTACCTTAATTGGAGCTATAAACACTACTTGGCTATAACTATATATTTTAAGTTATGTCTGCTTTTACTCTGAATCCATCTCATCCCATCCTAGTCTTATTTCAGAGACTGGAGTAAATCTTAAACTTAAAATTTCAGTTTAAAATGCTCCTGAGACTTTTCTTCAGGAGTCAAACCTAAACTTTAATTTAATTTTTTTTTACATGGATATTTATTTTATTTTATTTTTACTTTTAGGAAATTTAGCTTCTTTCTTTTCTTTTTTTTTTTCTTCTTTTTTTTTTGGTTCTATCAAGAGGTCATAGGTACTCTTTTTTTAATTCTTTCTTAATTACACTTTATTCACTTATCCCCCCTGTGGTTCCCTCCCTCCTCCAACCCCAATCCCAATTTTATAAACGCAGGACTACTGAGTAGCTTCCCCAGCCCTTAAATTGTTGGAAAAGCCCAAAGATACTGTTAAATTGCTCACATTTTCCTTAAATTTGCAATCTTCAAACTGTCAAGTGCTGGGATTACAGGCCTATCACGCTACCCTAGGTCCACCCTAAATTCCTTACTAGGTCACACAAGAGACCCAGAAAAATCTGAGTCATATCCTTAGTCGTCAGCTGTGTTTATTTGAACATTCTTCTTGCCCCCCTACCCTTGAGCCAATGTGAACTAGTGCTTTGGAAACACATTGTATTCTTTCACACCTTCTTGTCTTCTGGTGAAATTCTAATGCCTACAATACCTTTTCTTTCCTCTTTTCTTAGTTAGTTTCAGTTTATTTTCTTTTTTATGTAGTATTTTATTTTTATTAGTTACAGTTTATTCCCTTTGTATCCCACCTGTAGCTGCCTCTCTCATCTCCTCCCATCCCCCTCCTGCAAGTCCACTGATAGGGGAGGTTCTCCTCTCTTTCCATCTGATCCTAGTCTATCAGGTCTCATCAGGAGTGGCTGTATTGTCTTCCTCTGTGGCCTGGTAAGGCTGTACCCCCGTGAGGGGGAGGTGATCAAGGAGCAGGCCAATCAGTTTATGTCAGAGACAGTCTCTGTTTGTATTACTAGGGAACCCATTTGGACACTGAGCTGCCATGGGCTACATTTGTGCAGGGGTTCTAATTTATCTCCATGATCAATTTATTTTCTTGAACATAGCTTAATTGATATGAACTTATTTAAAACACACATTAGAGTTTAGTTAGCTACAGAGTTTGCCATAATTATAATAATTTATTGTCAGAATAACTGGGACTCCAAAATAAAGTTTCCAACCATTAGCAAAAACATTCTACTTCCTTCCACGTCTTTCCTCATCCAGGCTCTGGCAGTCATGAATCTACTTTTCAGTCTCTGGAAATTTACCTAGTCCAGATTCAGTTTTCAAATTACTTAGGTGCTGCTCCACATTTACTTCCAAGTCTCCTTATTTCATATTCTGTCTTTTGGGCTCTAAAGCCTTCATCTTCATACTTACTTTACCTAATCCTTACTTTCCTCTCCCTAGGAAGTTATGTATTCATTTCTCAAACCCCAATATTTAATATTTACCTGGCTCATGGGTTAGCCATTGGCTAACAGTATAAATGAGACGGATGAAAGCTTCTCAAGGACTAAATGAAAAATAACTAAATATACACATAAAATCAGTCAATGGATGCCCAAGTGATCATTTTTTTCAGCTCATTTGAACATGAATAATCTCCGCAATCTCTACAAACATGAACCTTCTTTGCTTCTGTTTCTTCCATTGATGGGTATGCTTTAAAAAGGAGGGAAACATTATCATAAGTTGTGGAGAGGAGGTATATCTTTAGGGAATATTCATGATACAGAAGTTTAAATCATATTCATGGAACTAACCACAATATTCTTAGACTATCTTTTTTCGTAAGTGTTCTCTCTCCTTCTGCCCCACACCAATATATACCTCTGAGCTACTCCCATGTGTTTTAACAGCATACTTCAGAATATCTTTCTAACAATAGAGGTCTTATGATAAAAAAATATTTCAGCATAAGAAAGCAGAACATCTCATGAAAAAATTAATTATCCCATTTTGATATAATGCCTTTCTTGTATTTATATTAAAAGTACTCATTATCAAAGGGCTAAAAAACATGTTGAAATTACAATAGAGTTACCGAGCTGTTAAAAACTCAGTCATCTCATTTCTATGATGTTTTGACAGGCTGGTGTTGCACCCTGATGTTCACCATTATCTAGAATTAATTTCCATTTCCCTATGCCTTTCACTGTGTTCTTGGTCTTTTATTCTAATCTCTTTTTCTTTCTTGCTTCCATTCCAGATCTTCCACTATCTATCTTTTGCTCCATTTTTTTTTTCCATTGAAGCTCTTCTTTAAAAATTACTTTCTGCTTCTCCAATTTACTTCAATCTTCTTTCTGACTAGTCTACTTTGTGTTTCTTTCCATTGTTTTCACCCTGGACACAGTAGGAAAGGGTTAAAGATTTATAGGTGGGTCTGTTCTAAATCATTTTCATTCAACTGACTCCAAAGGAGATATGTCCTAGCCCAAAGTACCCATATTTCTTTCCCTAAATATAAGGTACATACATTCTCTGTATCTTACCTTTCTTATCTCCAAACTTAAGGTAAAATAATAATTTCTAAAACTGTCTCCCAGAGATGTGAGGATCAAACCTGGTACTTAATATGAAAGGTTTTGAAAAGAAGTAGGTCCCTGTCACTGAGAAGCACTAGGCAGGGTGAGGATTATTGATGCTTTTCTCTGTGCAGGACCACATTAACTGAGGATGGCAGTTTTTTGGGCATTTGAAGAACATGTTTCTTTTCAGTTTGGTTGGATTCCATCAAATCATTTGGTTGACATTTTGCCTTGTTTGAATGTTCTTAGTGTCTTAGGAGGAGAGAACCTGCTTTTTTATATGCTGATGGTTTTTATTCTGTCCTTTTCTCTTGCCCCGGGTTAGCAAATGGAACTTCCAGTAGTCAACTTTCTACACCCAAGTCGAAGCAGTCTCCTATCTCTACACCCACGAGCCCTGGAAGTCTGCGGAAGCACAAGGTATTATGTCTCTTATACCTTACTAAACCACTTTGCACTTACAGTTTCTTAAAAGGCTGGATAGCATACCTCATCCATTGTATTTCAACAGCACTCTGAAGACAGAATGTTCTTCTATTGACTCTGTTAAGTTGAAGTTCCAAGAACTCTAGCAGTGAAAAAGCCTTGAATCTGTTCTATTGATTTCTCTAACCCTAGTTTTAATAATTTTTCAGTTAAATTTTAACATTTCCCCCAAAAGTGGTACAAAAATCTCAAATATTCTTTCTGAAGCAATGATAAAAAGCAAAAGCAAACCATAACACTTGTTTCACCAATTCCAACATTATAGCAAAGTTAATGCCAAGGGCTACTGGTATGCAAAAAACTTTAAATATAATAAACACTGCAAAAATTTACCTAGGATCAATTTCCAAGCATATTGCTTCCCAGAAAGCTCTCTTATGTAGAGAATATGGAATGCTCACTGTTTTAAATTTCTTATACCTTAGATAGTGTGGATGTGTTTTTCTCTGATCATCACACTGGAAAGCAAGTTCCACTAGGATTTTTTTGCTTACCGGCCCATAAGTCCTGGTGTGAAATGCAAAATGGCAAAAGTCTCATCAGTATGTTCAACTCCATCATACAGTGGCCAGAATGGAAGATTTTGTAGGCAGGAATATTTTATCACATTATTTCAATAATACTGTGTAAGTTTTACATAGACAAGGGAATTGAAACCCAGCCAAATAACTAACTATCTTACTAGGGCAACAAAATTAGCAGCACAACTAGAATGCATGTTTCCACCAATGCTATTCTAGAGTCATTTTACATTAGCTTTTGAGTTGATATTTTTTTAAATGTGGAAGTGGGAAAACTCATGAGACATCAACCTTGGACATGCTGAGAAAGAGAGAGAAACAGTCTTCCCCAGGGAGGAGCACACCAACTGGTTATTCAATACTAAATGGCCAGCCCTGAAAGCATACATAAAAGTAACATTACACAGGCTGAGCAGGTTGTATTTATGTATTTAGAAACACAACACAGCCCTCGATGTGTAAATGTGTAATGACATCATGCTATAAACTTTAACTTGGTCACAGCACTAATTATTTGGACCATGAAAGTCAGCAAATAAATCAAGATTATCATTCTTCCCCCACTCCACAGAAAGTAAATTGCTAAATAATTAACAGAGACTCAGTGGGTAAAGACATTTGTCTCAAAGCCTGACAACTTTGGTTCAATACCCAGAATTCTCCATATGTGTGCTGTGGTGTAGGAAAATGTAAACACACACACACACACACACACACACTATAACTTTAAAAATATTTCATAGCATACCAGTATCTGACATGTCTTTCTTACAGCATACTCTAGCTTCCTGTTTAATTGCCTTTGTCTGCCCTCTTATTGATAATGCCTGTTTCTTTCCTTTAACCACCCTTTTATTTCCCCTATTGATGAACTCAACTGTCTCTGTAGGCTTTGTTACTCAGAAGTTGTGAGATGTTTGAAAATCACTTTACAGTTGGTTTTTGGTTATTTGCTAAGTAGCAAAGTTTGTGAATATAAACCTTACAAGATGGAAACAAACCATCTCTGATGATCCAGTTTCCATGGAGACCCTTCAAGACTATCTTGCTTCTACCTTCACTCTATGACTTTCTGCAATTACTTTCATTTCTGGGACCTGTGTTCTATGCCAGGCCTTTCCATTGACCTTTCCCAGGGTCTCAGAGGCAGTCTGGGCATTTCCTCTGCACAATTGTATCATTCAGCCTCTCCCTGGCATGTACATCCAGCTCATTTAGGTTGAGGACCAATTCTTTGTAAACCATTCAGGTGAGTTTTGGTATTTTCAAATTGGTTTCTCCTGGTTGGACTTGTAGACACTTGTGGCTTTTTTATTTTTCACTAAGTTTTACACACAATTTCAGTCACTAAAGAACTAGACAAAGCTCATGGGTAGCAGCATTGTCAGAGCTGTACTGTTATCTTTGTGAAATTCTCAATGTATTGTATTAAGATTAATTTTTAAAACATAAAAATGAACACAAGCTAATAAATTATATCATACTTTTCTAGTCAAACTTTTAAAAATTATATGCACTTAGATTTTATTATAATATACTATTTTCAATATTTTTATCACTTAAAACTTGAAGAGGAGTTGTAGTAATAAAAATTCTCTTTATACACATTTATCAGTTATTTCTGTTTTGCTCCATTTATTTTGTTTTCTACACTCTCATTTTTAGTTGTATATGAATATAAAGTTTTTTTTTTACTATTTTCTGAGTTATTTGAGATTAAGTTGCAATATAATGAAATATCCAATGTACCTTTCTTAAGGACAAACTGGTTTATAACAATGGTACAATTTTCAACATCATGAGATTTAATAAACAAAGACATAAAATGTTATAGTCTGTGTTCAAATTTTAGCAATTGCTTACATGACATTCTTTTTCCGGTCCAGGATCTAATCTAGGATCAAGACTTACATTCATTTGACAATGTTCTTTCTGAACATTGTCTTTCTTTCACCATTTTTTAATCTGGAAGAATTCCTGAAATTTTTACCTTTCGGGACAGTACATTCTAGAAATGAAGATGTATGCCCCCTTCTGTGCATCCTATAGGAAGTAACGGCTTCATATTTACTTGGCCTGAAATTGAGATTGAGTTGACTTTTTGGAATAAGCTAAAAGTTAGTTGTGACCTTACCTCAGTCCTTCCAAATCTCAGGTCTGAGCTTTGCATTTGTGCTTTCACCTTACTTGCTATTTGAGCCTTAGAACCATCAATGTCCCTAGGCAGTGGCCAGAGTAGATCTCATCTGGACTTCTGTCCAAGTGGACCTGAAAGGTGTGAGTCATGCTGGAGACAGGAAACAGGTGGCGGAGGCAATCACTTTTCTTCTGTGTAATTGGAAACAATCTTGAAGTCCTAGCATCCCCTTGGTAAATTTTGATGGCTGTGCTGGGCCTCTAAGGTGTAATCAGATGTTTGGCTTTTCTTAGGCAGCTCAAGGAGACTCCTCTAATGCAGCTGCAATGGGGTTAGCCAAAGTGCGCATATTCAAGTGCTGCAATGTGGACACACAGTGCATCTTAAGGTCCTTAATGAGAACAACATTTCATTTTGTATTGCTATACTGCTTTAACCTTTCACAAGCCATGTTCTTACTTAGCCTTGTAATATCCCTGTGAAAGACAAAGAACAGTTATATATGATTCCTCTTTTACGGTGAGGGCAAAAGTTACAGAAATTAATGACAACCTCAGTATGATTTAACAACTATTTATTAAAGACTGTTTTTGGCGATAATACCTTGTTAAAGACATTTTAAAATATAGAAACATAGAAAAGCCCTTTGATTTAATTAAAGTGGTTTCCACTTTAGTGATTCCACCCATAATTCTAAAGTTGAAGAATTTTCTGCAAAATGGAAATTAAAGGAAAATATATTTATTTAAAGATTTTTTTTTGCCCTCCTAGCAGTGTATAGAAAGAGTTTGATAAATACAGTAGCATCCTGACACTGAGATCACAAGCACAATTAGCTCAAATAAAAGTGGCTTTGGATAATACAAACAAGAATATAAAATGGCTTTGGATAATACAAACAAGAATATAAAACAGGGTGGGAAGGACTTTTGATGGGAACTCAAGTAAGATGGGATCTGGCAAAGACTTTAGAGAAGTGCTAATGAACTAGGGTCTTGAATAAGCTTTGAAAAGGCTGGTAAGGCAAACAGACTTGCAAACCTTAAAACATCAGTAAGAACAATGTTCTATGACCAAAAGTGCAGTGTTTGTTTGAAAAAAAGTAGCAAACCCTAAACCAGAAGCTAGGTTTTTCCAAAGTCCTTCCTGAATTCCTTTGGACTATAAGTTCCTTGGACCAAAGAGTAACTTTCTGTTTTTTTTTTTTTTTTTTTTCTAATGCAATAGTATTGCCAGCACAGCTGTATTTGTTACAAACATTTTGTTCTGTAGGGCTCCAAGGGACTAAACAAATGAATTTCAGGTGGAAATTATTTGTATTGCATGTTTCTGTATTTCTACCTATCAATCAACAAAAACAGAATGCCGAGATAATTACTTTTTCTGATCATTGGTCTTCCCTTACAAAACCCCTCAGGCTTTGAATATGAAATGAATTGATAGAAGTATAGAAGTGGTTCATGCCTAGCTTTATTCCTATAGATTCTTTCCACAGCCCTAGTCTTCACTCTTTCGAAGTCACAGCAATTACAAAAAGAGTTCTCACAATTCAACTCTTAGACCTCTCCTCATTTCTTATCAGGTAAAGTCTGCAACGATAATTATTTACACCAAACAAGCTAAGAATTATAATTATATTAACATTTAAAAATAATTCGTGATAAAATTAGTTAAAAACAATCAATGAAATTATATACCAGAAAATATGCATTTAAACCAAAACCAAAATTGAATATGGAACAAAAGAGACAAGACAGGAAATAGGGGGATGCCTGATATAATTCCTATTTACTAGCAACTACTCTAAAGATTACTAGATTAAGTGCTCAAATTAGAAGCTGTGATAGGAAAGATTATTTTTTATTTCATGTCCCATCTTTATGCTATCCAAAACGGAAGTAATATAGACCAAAAACCATAAGTATATAAAGAGTAAAATCACAGGAAAAAGGGAAGTTGGAAGATAGAGATCAAAAGATACAAAGTAACAGACAAGTTAGATGAAGAAATATATCCATCTAACATACATTATAGATCTAACATACTAAAGTCGTGATGGCTATACAAATAGTAGGGGAAAAATGAACTTAAATTTTGTTACTAGGGAAAACTAAAAAAAAAAAATCTTGATGGTGAAAATGTTAATGCTTGCAGAAAATGTGTTTATGAGTATGTGTATGCTCCTTAAGAACATTACACCAGTAAATATGTAAGAAAAACTGATGGAACTCAGATAAGTAATCCAACTGTATTAACTAAAAGTTTCAACACCTCAAATGGACTAATGAATATAATCATGAGATGGAAGGCCACTAATTAAGCTCTTTTAGGGCCCTGATATGGACTACAAAAATCTTTAACTGTCTTTCTAATTCTAAAATCTTATGAACTATAAGACCAGTAACTGCATTTTGTTTTCTTCAGTTGTGTAAAAAGACAAGAAATGAGATTGATACTGCAAGTTAGTGAACTGTGTGGGTATTTCTCAGGAAGTACATAAATAATTTGAATAATATAAAGGCCACTTAGAAACTCTTACCCCATTGAAGCTCTGGGCCTCAACATTCATCTCTATGTTCAATTGTCTAATTGCTATCTTAATATAATCTAGATTAATAGCAACTTTATTTAAATACTGCCTAAATTGTTTGCTACAGGGTAGCACTGTTTCTCTTCCACTCCTCTGGCCTCTTATAAACATGCAAATTACATCTTTATACACAAAATGTCCATCAACACATTTTTATAATTACCAGATCATACAGTTGTCTTTTGAAATAAACCAGACACATACAGAGAACTATTGCATGATGTTACTTGTGCATGGATTTTTTTTAAAAAAGTAAAAAAAAAGTAAATACTTAGAGATGAAGAATAGAACAGAGGTGACCAGAGGGACTACAGCAGTTGAGGAAATGGGGCATGTATAACACAGATACATAACAGACGAGTTATATGACATAACAGACGACAAGCTATGTGAACCAATATACAAATCTACAAAGTGACTAATTTAATAAAACAATTAGGAAGAAAGTAGATTTAATTGTTCTTCTCATACATGAAAGAAACTATGTGAATCCAGATTCCAGATATGTTATTTACTTCTATATAGTGACTATTTTTGTTATCTAAATATATCTCATAATCTCATTTTATAAACTTATATATATATATATATATATATATATAATAAAATACATATTTCAATCAACTTTTAGAGTATCTATAAAACCTTGTATATAAATCTCTGGAATGTGTTTACAAGTTTATCCTACTGTTTTGTTTTGTTTTGTTTTGTTTTTTCATTAATGTAGGCCTGAAATGTTATCAGCTCCTTGAGAGACCTCTCTTTAGTATTTGTTGTAGGACAAGGATGCCAGTGGTGACAACTATTCAAAATGATTTGTTTGAGTTCTTTAAATATCGCCAGTCAACTTTTGTTCTTGATCGGTTCTGTGAATGTTGGGTCATTATTTCAACTGCCTATCAGGCAGTAAACAAATGTGGCCTAGCTTTTATTGCTACTTGCACATGTCCCCAAAGTTATCTTGGGCTGAAAGATTAAGACAAACTCAGGTTTTTACTGAGCATGAACTCAGTTATCAGTGTGTAGCTGGACTCTTAGATTCCCCAGAATAGGTGTTAGAGAGCTTCAAAGCTTCCCATGTACAGCTAATTTTACAGCTTGTCCTTATAAGTTTTTAGCCATTTTATTTTTTCCAACTTTTTCACCTGCAAACACACATACTTGCAAACACACACACACACACACACACACACACACACACTTTATGGAAAGGTGTATTTTTTTAATAGATAGGGTATTAACATGTAGCCCTGGCTATCGTGGCACCTATTGTATAGAACAGGTTGACCTCAAAACCACAAATATCTGCCTGTGTCTGCCTCCCAAGTGCTGTTGAAGGTGTGCATCACCACACTAGGCCTGGCTAAGAAGTTGTGATTTTTAAATAGCTGTATTGAATAATGCCCCCTCCCCCCCAAGAATGCTGACAGCAAAAAGTGTTCTCTGAATCAAATCAAATAAAGGAGAACTCTTTGAGAAGACGCCTACACAGGTCAACATGACAATTATTTGGAAATAAGACCTTACAGTTTCTCCAAGCACAATTGTATTAATCGGTGGCTTTGAGGTTACAGTTGTGTGGATCTTGGAGATTGCTGGTGTTCAAAGATACTGTGGAGCCTGACAGAGGGAAAATGAAAACAATGCAAGATAGACACCAAAACTCTTAGTAGTCTTACTTAAATCCAGGCATCTTTCTTACATAAATGTTTCTTGTTTTGTTGTGTTTGATTAATTTCCAGCATTCTGAAAAAGTTTATTTTGAGAGTGTTATAATATTAATGAAGGATCAAGATTTCAGAGCCCCACTACACATTTCTGTGAGTCTGCAGCTCAAAGATGTTTTTTTGTCCATGAACAACTTTCGCTGTAGACAAATATTTAAGAACTAAATCCAGTTACAGATGCAGTTATACAGGCTGTTGCTTTGCTTCAGTTCAACTTTACAAGTGGTTTTTGTACTTCCATTACTTCCTCGAGATTGTGCTTCTTACACTTAACAAACATAGCCACACACAATCAAATAAGAACATGTCAATTTGCAATATGTTACCTTCTAGGTGAAGCTGAGTAAGGAGCATCTTGATATAATATAGAGGTACCTCTTGACAAACTTTTAAAGCTCATTGTGATTAATTAATTATTTTAAAATAAAATTAGAAAAATGATATTTCAAGCAACTAAAACCATTTCAAAGCTCAAAGTACCAAGTAAAAGAGAGTTAATGTTGTACCTCACCCTAAATGATTGCACCACTGGGCATAGACCTTAAAGAGACTCTAACATACAACAAGGACATTTGCTCAAATATGTTAATAGCAGCTTTACTCATAGTAACCAGAATGTGTAAACAACCTAGATGTCCCTCAATGGAGGAATGGATACAGAAATTGTGGTATATTTACACAATGGAAACTACTCAGCAATTAAAAACAAGGAAAGCATGAAATTTGCAGGCAAATGGTGGGAACTAGAAAAGGTCATCCTGAGTGAGGTATCCCAGAAGCAGAAAGACACACATGGTATATACTCACTTATGAGTGGATATTTGCCACATAATATAGGATAAACACACTAAAATCTATAGTTCTAAAAAATCTAAACAACAAAGAAGACTGTAGGGAAGAGGTTAAATCCTCATTCAGAAGGGCAAACAGGATAGACATTGAAAATAGAAGACAGAGATCAGGGCAGGAGCCTTCCACAGAGGGCCTCTGAAAGACTCTACCCAGCAGAGTATTGACGGAGATACTGAGACTCACAGCCAAACTTTGGGCAGAGTGCAAGGAATCTTAAGAAAGAAGGGGAAGATAGAAAGCCCTGAAGGGGACAAGAACTCCACAAGGAAACCGACAGAACCAAAAAATCTGGGTTCAGGGGCTCCTGCAGAGACTGATATATCAACCAAGGATCATGCATTGAGGTAACCTAGTACCCCTGCACAGATGTAGTCCATGGGCATTTCAGTCTCCAAGTGGGTTCTTTAGTAAGGGGAGCAGGGGAAGTTACTGGCATGAACTCAGTTGCCTGTTCTTTGATCACCTTGCCCTTGCAAGGTGGCCTTACTAGGCCACAGAAAGAGGAATCAGATAGTACTGATGAGACCTGATAGACTGGAATCAGATAGTAGGGGAGGAGTATCTCCCCTATCAGTGGACTAGAAGAGGGACATCGGGGGCAAGAGAGGGAGGTTGGGCCTGGGAGGAGATAAGGAAGGAAGCTATACCAGGATATAATGTCAATAAATTGTAAATAATGATAATGATGATGATGATGATGATGATGATGATGATGATGATAATAATAATAATAATAATAATAATAATAATAATAATAATAATAAAAGGGCAAAAAAGGAGAGTTAACTTTGTCTCTTTTTTTCTTACAGGACTTGTATCTGCCGTTGTCACTGGATGACTCTGACTCACTTGGCGATTCCATGTGAAAGCTTAGAGGTTAAGTCAAAGCCTATCAACATGGCAGAATGCTTTCGCTCAAGTGACCAACAAGGCTATTGGTGCTTAAACATTGTTTTGTTGTTTTTATTTTTCAAAACACTCTGTAGTATGTAGGGTTTATTTTTATGTGACTTCTCCTCTGGGCCACTAATTCACAATTACCAGTTATGAGAGACAGATTGATAACCATCCTTTTGAGTGATTTTCCAGAACTGCAAAATGTGCTAGTCCATGACCTTTCTACTGAATGCTTAGGGGCCTTTGTATTTCCCCAACTCAATTCATTCAAATACTAGTCTTTCTTTTGTGGAAAGCTGTTTACATACATATCACTTAAAATGTTTGTGTGTGGGGGAAAACATTCATATGCAGATCTAAAAGTGAAAAACCTAAGTGTCCCTTGCCTCTGTATCTTCAGAATGCTGGAGGATCTCAGAAGAGTGGCAAGCCAGATCCTTGGTCTCACTCTTTGCTCTTACATGAATCCCCAGTGTATTGTTTAGCATTAATCCTGGCTGTTGAGAGGGAGAAACAGCAGCTACTTATAATGTGAACACCATGTGCTTAGGGCTATGGTATAGAGCTAGCTGAAAGATATAAGGCAGAATTGGGGGCAAAAACTGCCCAAGTTTCAGTAGGATTTACATTAAGCACAGTGGATTCCTGGTCAACCCCTCTGTTGGGAAAATTTTGAATCAGTAAATAATTGATGAGTTTGAGGTACATGATGTCACATATATGATGTCACATATATGATTCTTCCAGGAGGCTTTCTAACATACACAGTTACATGAATGGTATGGTATATCCATCTAGCTCAGTTCTAGCTCTGTTCTATTGGATGCCTTGTAAACAGCCAACACTACAAACACTGTGAGAATTTGTTTTCAGGTCTGACACCTTTTGGTAGCTTTTTATAGCAAGAAACCGTATCCTTTTTATAAAAACTCAAGTCTGTATTTCAGGAGAAAACTCTTCAGGCTCCTTTTTTTATAAGCTGGTGATTTTTTCCTTTATCTAAAAAAACACAAGCAGAAAATTTACCAAAAAAAATGCAGAATACTGTAGTTTAGAAATCATGCTCTCTCTGCCAAACAGAAAGCTCCAGGAGAAAACACAATGATTAGAGGCCAATTCAATAGAATTCAGTCTTTTGATACCTTTTTAACAGTTACACTTACAGTAATAATTTCGATGTGGACCAGAAATTCCAATTATATTTTAAATGAAATGTTATGGCATATTTTAAGTAACTCTTTTCTATCTATAATCCTAATATTTCATACTTAAGATGCAAAGACCTTTCACATGTCTTTAACATTAGAAAGGATTTCTCTTTATTAAGGATTGATCACTTGAAACAACTCTCAGTCTTTGAGGTACAAGTTTATAACACTGCTTTTTGTCTATAATCATAGCCCATAATAGCCAAGACAACTAAATTTAGGTGAAAGCCATGCATGCTAATTCTGTGTTTGATTTTAATAGATAGGAAGATTTCCTTTGTAATTGTTCAGATAATTTGAAAGGTGCAGCATTCAAAGCCAAGATGTTGTTTGGCTGCTGAATGATATGTAGTTGTCCCTCCATTCTAAGTAGAATGAGTATGAAGTTCATGTGTGTGTGTGTTTGTGTGTGTGTGTGTGTGTGTGTGTGTGTGTGTGTAGGCTGCTTCATAATTAAGAAATATTGCAGAACAACTCAACATGAATTGATGGCAACTTGGTGGCATTGCTGATGTGCAGGGGAAGTAGGATGGAAGGGGTAACTAGAGACCCCTCAAAACTTTTCAGATGTCCTTAATTACAAGATTACAAGAAACATTTTCTTTTTCGGTTCAGGAAAAGTGGGATGATGAGAGTTCTGGTTTCTGGTTAAACTGGTCATTGAAGAGCCTCAAATGATGATGTTTATTTGTATACCCACATGAAATGATTAAGAAGCCCATTTTGTTCAGCTCCTATTCCTTTCTAGAATCTCAGTGATTTCTTAGTGCCTCCAAGAACGTTTGAGTTAATTAGAGAAAATTGGTATTTGGGATGGATTGAAATTGTGGTGGGAGGTTTATTTTTAACCTCTGGGCCAGGTCCTCCAACAGGCTCTATGTGGGTCTTTCAGCACATTACACGTAGTCCTCAGTATTCATTTAAGATGAAACATGGAGATCTTATTGAAAAAGTAAATGCAAAGAAAATTCAAAGTTACTTATGCTCAGCCTTCTTGGTAGTTCTCTGAGTATTTCCTTACTTGTAGTTTATAAAGCACATCTCAACAGTGCCCTTTCTGTCTTTCTTTGAACTACAAGAAAACATTTAACAAATATTTTTCATTTATATACAGGCACATATACATGTAAACAAGCTTTTTTTTTTCTTTACTAGTTCCTGTAACAGGGCTTGGTATAGTAGAAAACTTGTCTCTAAAATTTTCATTTTATATTGGTTCATATTCAAGCAATTCCCTTGCATAAAGTTCCTGTATTACTCTTACTCAGTCTCAGTTTTACCTAGTCTAGTTTTACCACTTTAGTCCCATTGAGTTCAGTATGCATTTTCAGCAAGCATTTGCCACTGCTTCTCATAATGTCTCCCTCTTTGTCACACACACACACACACACACACACACACACACACACACACACACTCTCTCTCTCTCTCTCTCTCTCTCTCTCTCTCTCTTTCTCTCTCTCTCTCTCTCTCTCTCTCTCTCTCTATGCTACTTGTTCCTGCCTCTTGACTTTTCTTCCCTAAAGAAACAGAAATAGGGGCAAAAGGGGAAATGTATATATGGGGCTGGCTTGAACAACTAATGTCCTAAGTAGTGCTAACTAGAAATAAAGTAAGAGAAAAGCTTTTTATAACTGTTTTGGAAAGGATAGCAACTAGCAAGACTGCTTTGTGTCCTTATGAGCTTTAGTCTTAGTCTAGACTGAATCATAACATTTTTCAGCTGGAAGGAAGCTTAAGATCACATCATCTTCTCCAAAGTCTTCATTTTCTTTAGGCCAGAAAACAGGCAAGTAAAGTGATTCCCTCCCAAGTAAAGTGCTGAGATTAGAACCTATATCTCTTGGCTCCTATTCCAGGGTCTTTTCCAAGTAGCCAGTATTGTATTCTGCAAAGATCTTGAAAATTCTTTCCCAAGGTCATGTTGCATCCTGGATCCATATGCTATTTTGTTGATCTCAGCAAGAAACCCACTCAACAACCTAATCTTGCCCTTCCTCCTCAATTTCACATTGCTTTATCCACATGGGCTGCAGATGGCTCCCAAAAGAAGAGGACATCGAGATTTTGAGCACCAGAGGCTTGATGGGCCACTTTGAGGAATCTTTCCCATAGCCTCTGGACTTCTGTTTGATCCAAGTAGAATGGAAAATGACTATGTTCCCACTTATAAGCTTCCTTCAACCCCATTGCACGCTGATTGTTCCTCCCAGGGTTAAGGGAGTGGTTTCTTGTTTCCAGCACAGAGAAAATAAAAATAGCTTTGTTTATCCTTTCTCAGATGACTTTTAGTGTTGAAAATACTAGTCTAGCTACCATTACTACTAACAACAATTGCCTTTAAAATTTGGTAGTGAGCAAAGCTAGAATATAATCAAGTCTTGTGTTTGAATTCAGTCTCAATGTCCCCATAGCCATACTGCCTGATTTAAAAAATTTTCATGTATAAGCAAGTGGTTTTGTAACTAAAATGTGAACTGGCTGACATTAAATATTTATATTTGTACCAAAATAACACACAGAGACCTTGCACAGTATATCCTATCTCTTTGTGTAGCCTGTTTCTGTGACTTTCCATGGCAGAAATTAGGGCATCTTAATCTGTATGTATGGATTTCTTTGCAGCAAGGCTCTCTGGGAACTAATGAATATTAGTTGAAATCTAAAAGACCTCTTACTAAGTTTACCCAACTTCAGGAACTTCTCAATTGTTCTTTCTCCAGTTGGGAGTGACCAAGGAATCCTAAAGTGGGTATGTAGCTTCTACATTCTAGTTACCCCTTAGAAGCATCCAGCCTAAGTTTAAAGCAAGTAACCCAATGCTTGATTTGTATAAAATTGTGTCTCTATACCCAGTCTCTTCAATATTCTAGGCAGAGATTTTTTCCATTTCCTCTCACATTTGATTCCAAATAGATTTTCCTTTTAGAAAACAGAGAAGTAAACAAACCCCATGTCCTTGGGATGGGAGAAGTAGCATGTCCATGTGTCCCAAATGAGCTTCTGCAGTAGTGACCTTCTTTCAAAAGATGAGATTGCCTCAGGGACAGCTGTTTAAGAGACTTGTGTAGCAGAAGCCCTGTGACAACATAGATTTACTGACTTCCTGCCCACTGGTCTGGTTGCTATGGAAATAGAAGGCATTGGGTATTTCTCTTTCCTTCCTTCTTTTCAAAAATTGTGACTGCAGCCTGTTCTTGTGCACATGGGGCCACTTGAACCCACATCTAGGCCTTAGTTATATATTGCCTTCCCTATATTAAGAGGTTTAGCTTCTACATTCAAACTGGTTTTCTCAGTAGGCAGCAATATTTTGAAGCTCCTATGGGGAGCGGAATAGTTCACTGACTTCTTGTGCTTTCTTTTAGGTTAGAGAGGTATCTTCCTTGGGTAAAGATGGAGTTTCCTTAGTCATCACACTAATAGCCTCATTCTTTACATCTAGCCTCTTAGTGTTGATTTGAATGTCCCTTCTTTAAGGATTGCTGCAGAGCTTACACATTGGCTAAGCTGGTGTGAGACTGGCTATCATTTGGGAAGTCAACTGTTTCTTAAGTTTACTGGTGTCAAAATCTTATGGAATTAAAAGTGAAAATTTGTTTTTCCTATCTCCCGTACCTGGGGCTAGGGAAGCAGAGAATTCTTATTGGAAAACAAGACACTTTCCTGCTTGGCTAGAAGGGCAGGTAAGTTAAAAAAAAAAGTCAAAGAGAACATAGAAGTCAGAAGAGAAAATCTTATAATCTAAAGCAGAGACCTGAATGCTTTGAAATTTCTCATTTCTGGGTGATAACTCAAATAACTAAGTGGCTTTTTGTCGTTTTACTTCCCCTTTTCTTTCTGGATGCCTACATTTGTTCTCATCAATCTCTCATTCTATAGTAAAAAACATCCATTCTTTGACTTTTGTGGTCCTTCCCCCTCTTTTGAAATCCTTTACACTTTCCTGCCTCTGGGTATGTGTCTCTTCATGGTTGGTAAGTTTTGTCTTGTGACTGAAAAGAAATTATTTAGTCTCAGTGATTCCTGGTCCTACCCTTGTTC